GACCGGTGGACCTGCGGCGTGCCATATGGCTGCGCATGAGGAGTCGGAGTTCGCAGCGGTAGCCACCTTATCATTGGGCGCACGTTTGCCGGGCGCGTCTGCGTTTGTCCCCACCCTCCTGCGTTGGGTTTTCGTTTAAAGCAGTGGCTCTGCCGCGCGATTCCGCCACCGCGCTCGGGCGGGCACCGCGGGGGTTGGGAGGGGTGGTGGGCCGAGCGCCGGGCGGGGGGGGTCAACAGAAGGTCCCTCCCCCGACCTCGTGGTGTTATTGGGCGCACGTTTGCTGGGGGGCACGTCTGCGTTTTTCCCAGCCCTCCTGCGTTGGGTTTCGTTGTCAATGGAGCGCTGCAGTCGCACGCCTCCTTCCCGCCTCCCTCCTCTTCACTCCTGCCTCTCGCCTCTCCTCTTCTGCCTGCCAGCCTGCCTTTCCTGTCCTGCCTGCCAGCCTGCCTCCTGCCTCGCCGTTCTGCGTGACCTCGCCATCGCAGGGGGGCTGCGAATTGCGAAGCTGTTGGCACTGTCGAGTGCGCATGGGGGTCCAGCAGAGTGACGCCTTACGCAGGCTCAGATTAGACTGGTTATTTCTGAGGGCTCCGCGATCTGCGAAAAAGTCGCCCCTTTCGAGAGCTGTTGGGGTGTCCAGCGGAGTGACGCCTTACCCACCCATATTCAGATTACATCGACATCCATGGGGGGCTGCGAACTGCGAAACCGTCGCCATTTTCAAGGACTGCTGGGGGTCCCGTGGAGTGACGCCTTACGATCCAGAATTCATCTCGCCATCATCATCATCATCATCATCATCATCATCATCATCATCATCATCATCATCATCATCATCATCATCATCATCATCGTCATCGTCGTCATCGTCATCGTCATCGTCATCGTCATCGTCATCGTCATCGTCATCGTCCTCATCCTCATCCTCATCCTCATCCTCATCCTCATCCTCATCCTCATCGTCATCATCATCATCATCATCGTCATCATCATCATCATCATCATCGTCATCATCATCATCATCATCATCATCATCATCATCATCATCATCATCATCATCATCATTTGAGGAGGAGGGGCGAGGCGGCCTTAGAGGCAAGGCCCTTCGAGGGCCAAGCGCCTCGATCCGCCGTCGTCGCGAGGCGGGGTTAGAGGAGCAACACCGGCATATCTGCTTACTCTCGTCGGGCAGCGAGGGCGCGGGCACTTGTTGGAGCACGGTGCCCTCGCGGCCGCCTTTGCGGGCTGCCGGCGCGCCGTGGGCGATTGTTACTCGGGCGCGGCTGGGCACGGCTGCGCCGCCCCAGCGAGGCCTTGTCTGCTCTCTGCGAGGGTCTGACGATGATGATTCCTGTGGTGCGCCATTGGGCGATGATCTCCATCGTCCCAGTCTGGCCCGATGGGCCGTGGCGGGCGCATCCGGGGCCGCGGTGCGGTCGGTGCCATCCTGCGCCGCCGCGTGGAGCTCGCGGGCGCCTTCGTGGACATCCAGCGCTGCATCTCCGCATCGAGGACCTCGCGGCAACGTGGCCGGCGGGGCAGGCGCTTCCTGCTAGAACTCACTGTGCGCTCACCCTTCGCCGGCGATTTTCGGCGGCCGCGCACTGTCCAGGGGGCGGCGGCTCGCGGCGGAGAAACGGACGAGCTGGCGCGCTACGGTGAGGCCTTGGTTTCGTTTTCGTCGGAGGCCTTCGGACGTCTGAGGCCCCTAGCGCTGCGGGCCCCTGCGTCCTTTCGCGGAGGGCCCTGCGACTGCGGCCAGCTGCGCTCTGGCGCCGGGCGCCCAGTGGCCCTCCGCCTGCGGTCGCTGCAGGCGGAACTGGAGGCAGCAGTTTTTTTTGGGGCTGTGTGCAGCGTCAAGTGCGTGCCCTGGGTGGCAGCGCCGTCCTGGCAACGGTAGGCGGAGCTGGCCTGGCGCACCTCCCCAAGGCGGTGGACTGGCGCGTTATGCTGCTCCGAGGCGGGGGGGGGGAAGGAGGGGGGTGAGTTTTTTTTTTTTTGGAGGGGAGGGGGGGGGGGAGGAAGGGAGGAGGGGGGGTGGGGTGCCACGCCGCTCACGCGCCAGGCGTTTCAGAGCTTGGGCCCTGCCGCGATTTCAGATTCCGTGCCCTGCTGCCTTGCCTCGCCTCGACATTTGCGGTGGCACTCGCGAGCGGGATCGGGGCGACAGAGGAACAAGACAGAACTGGCGTTGACAGCGGGCTGGTTCACGGTGCGATGGAGAGCAGCCAGGCGGCCAGACTTCGGGCCCCGCGCGCCCTGGAGATCTCAGCGGGGCCGCCGTGCTGGCGGCGCCGAGTGGTCTACCCGTGACCTGCGCGGTCGGTCGGGCGCTGCCACGTCCCCTCCTGCCCCAGACACGCCGGAGTCGGTCCCTCCGCCGTCTGGGCTGTGTACTAACGCCCGCCAGACGCGGCGCGGCCCGCCTCGTCTTGAGCTTTGCTGCTAAGTTCTTCCTACTTGGTTTTCCTACTCTCTCGCCTCTGTCTCCCTTGCTGCCCCTCGCCCCCCCTTTGACGTCGAAGTGAATTTCCAACGCCGTTTTTGCAAGACGGCGCCGTGCTCTTGCAAATCTGTCGGCTCGCGGTTTTTGCATGTTGGCGCCCGCGTCTCTGATGGTTTGCCTTTCTCGTTGGTTGCCCCTCCTTTACGCCCTGCAGTGATAGGTAAGAAGCGACGATTTTGCATAACGGCGCCGCGGTCTTGCAAATCTGGCGGCCCTCAGCTCTACCATCATGCAGGTCGCATTGGGTTATGGTGTGGGTGTGTGCGTGTGTGTGGTGTGTGTGTGTGTGTGTGTGTGTGTGTGTGTGTGTGTGCGTGTGCGTGTGTGTTGCGCGTGTGTGGAGAGTGTCATGACGTTGGCATAGATCAGACGGGGTGCAGTGCAAGTGGGTTGCTCGCAATTCGCGTTCTCACGTTGTGTCGCCTTCTTCTTGCCCCCGCCCTCTGCTCACGTCGCCGCGTTTGCTCGAAGCCGCGCCTTGTTGCTGCCGCGTCGCTCCGCAAGCGCCCCGCCGGTGCTGATGTGTCGCCTCTCTCCTTGGAGACGGAACTGAGCACATTCATTAACAGGTATGGCGCCCGCCCTCCTAGGCCCACCCCGCTGGGTTAGCGTCTGCACAGGGTTGTCGGCACCAGGGATGATAGCATTGCCACGTTGTTGGAAGACGCCCCCTCCATGCATAAAGCCACAGTTGCACAGGCAGACAAATTTTTGACAGCTTTCAGTGTAGGACGGGCCCTTACCCCTTCATTGTCCAAATGGGTGTCTGTGCTGCGGTCGCGCAATACCTTGGCCGAGTCGGAATTGAAACGAGCCCTGGCGGCGTCACCAGCTACCTCTCCGTGGCGCCAGCCGGTTTTATCTGGGACGACCAGCACCACCACAGCACCACAGCACGCAGCCAACGACTGCGGATGGCAGCCCCCTGGCAGCAGCAGCAAAAGCAGCAGCAAAAGCAGCAGCAGTGGCAGCCAGCAGGGCCCTCCGCCGCCCCAGACGGCCATTCCAGCCGTCTGGCCGCCAGCCCTCCAGCCCCTTCCGAGGGAGGGGGCTGGCGTCAGCTGCAGCCTGTGCCCCCCAGGGGAAGAGCCCCATTCCCACGGTAGGACTCCCCTGGGGCCAGTTCCCCATCGGGGTTCGCGCGGCTCCGCTGCGGCCCCCGGTGGCGCCCCGGCTTGTGCAGCAAGCCCACAGGAGCAACGCGACAACATGCTCGACCACAAGAGGCGGTACGACTCCCAACAGGGGCGCCGCGAGCAGCAGCACAACGACGACGACAAGCAGCAACATCAGCAGCAACACCACCACCACGACAACCATCACCAGCGGCAGCGTCGCCACTGCGACCAGCTGCAGCGGCACCACCACGACCAGCAGCAGCAGCAGCAGCAGCAGCAGCAGCAGCAGCAGCAGCAGCAGCAGCAGCAGCAGCAGCAGGGCAACCACCACAACGACACCCTGCGACACCGACCAGCAGAAACACCAACGCCACCGCAAACACAGCGACCAGCAGCAGCACCGCGACAGCGACCGACAGCGCCGCCACCAGCACCAGCGCCAGCACAAGCACCGCCACCACCACGACAGGAGCAGTGCGCACTGGCGAGGAGTCCGCGGGAGGCGCTCTACGGCTACCGCGGACAACGGGTCGGCGAAGCCAGCCACCCAGGCCCCCCCGGGCCAGCCGACGAGCCGCCGGGCACGCCGGAACGCAGATCGGGAGAGTCTGCCCCGGTACCAGCGCTCGCGGAGACGCCGCCGCACATGCTGTCGGCGCCGGAAGGGTTTGCCACGCCAGACTCGCGAGCGGGCGCGCGGTCGGCTTCACCACCGCCACCACCACCGCAGCTGAACCACTTCGCCAGCATTTTCGGCGCCTGGCCGGCAGCGCCCCCTGAACCAGAGGGAAGGCGGCGGGACTTCTCGGGCCTCTCCCTGCCGCCAGCAGGGCGCGAGGCGGCCGAGGAGCAGCGACAGCCACCGCAGCAACAGCAGGGGCCAGACCGGCCAGACGGAGGAATGCGCCATCTGCCAGACGCCGCTCGAAGGGGACACCGTGACGTGGCCAGCTTGCGGCCATGTCCCCCACCGCTTCCACGCAGCGTGCGCAGCGAGGCATCGGCCGACACGGGCAGGCCTGGCCCACTTGTACCACACAGGTGACGCATCCCGTGCCGAAAGGTCGCCCTGTCCCCTTTGCAACAGCCCGTGGGGGGACTCGCCGGGTGGCGTGGCGGCGCTCGCGAGCTTCGTGGGATCCCTGGACGCTTCTGGAGACTACCCCACCCGAGGGTGCAGGTGCTCACGCTGCCGAGCCGCGGCCGGCCCGCCAAGTGAGGAGTGCAATAGTCATTCTGTTTATCTGATAATGCTGGTCCCTGCTATTGCTGTTGCACGCTCTCACCCCTCTGCCCGTAAACATATTGGCTGAGGGGGCCCCCTTCTGCCTACGCTACCAGCTAGCATAACGTATCATTTGCAGCGAGAAGGTCTTGGAATAAAAGATTCACGCATATTGTCAGCACCTGCGTGTGCGTTGCATTGGCAGCGGAGCGTGTATTCCGAGCTCCCTCGCAGGGAGAACCCTTTCGGCATCAGACAGTTCCCTCCCGGACACTCCCGTGCAGTCGGACAGATTCCGACGGATATCACATCTCGCACGATGGCTGACCGGAGGCCTGCTGCTGCCGCTGGTTCTCGCGGCGCCGCCGCACCGAAGAAGTACGGAGATCGTCGATACAGAGGCAAGCACCCTCGAGAGGGAGCCGCGGCAGCGGCAGCGTCTGTGCCCGACGACGAGACCTACGAAGAGGAATGGGCCGACGAGTGGGCTGGTGAGGACTGGGCCGAGGACGACGACGAGGAGTCGGAGATTCCACCGAGCTCGGCGGAGTTCCGACGCACCCGCGGTGATCGCAAGAAGTGGCGCGGAGGACCGTGCCCAGCCCCACCTCCACTCGAGGCCAGGTTTCAGAATATATACAAGCAGCCGAGATACTACCAGAAGTGGGTTAGGAAAGTCCACATGTGGAAGGCCAGGGCGCGACACTACAAGCCGATGGCCGAACTGGCCCTGGACCTTTCAGACGTCATCACGGGTGAGGGCGCAGAGATGATCGAGTCCTTGGAATGGACCCGGTTGTATTCACAGGATGGTATTGATTTGGTGATCAACTCCCTCGCCGTGTTTGATGAGCAGCAGATCCTACAGGTTGGAGACCTCATGGAAGAGTATGAAGAAGTGGAGCGTCTGCCCGGTGAGCTGCTGGCCGCGTACGTTGCGCATTTCAAGGATCTCGAGATGCGGCTCAAACGGGCAGAGCTTCCAGCTCAGCAAGGACAATTTCGAGCATTCAAGTTGTTGCGAAGTTCATGTTTATCGCCGGAGGTCCGGCGCAACCTTCTCCTCGCCACGGGCAATGAGTATGACTTCGACCGCCTCGTTCAGGCTATGAGTGTGCAGTGGCCGTCCACCGCTCCGAACTGGGTCGCTCCAGTACGACGGATGGCACGTAAGAGACTCGGTGAGGCGGCCGCTCCTGAACGCAGGTCGGCTGGTCGAGATCCCGACAAAGGAGGCGGCAAAGGACGAGATCGACAGCCACCGAGTCGAGCTCCTCGACCACCGCCGAAGCCGCCCCACGTCAGCGAGGCTGACATTCTTCCCGAGGACGAGGCTGAGGAGAACGAAGATGAAGATGACCCCGATCAAGCAGAAGTAAATGAGGCTTGCGCCGAGGAGGTTGACAGTATCCAGGTCATGCAGGAGGTGGCGGACGCTTTGACCGTCACCAGCGACAAGTTGAAGAAGCTGACCTTGGGCCGCGGGTGGACCGGAAGGTCCTCGCCGCCGAAGCCTGGAGACCGACGCCCGCCACCGCGGTCAGCGCCCTCTGGGGGTGCCACCGCCCCTGCGGGCCGGCCGTCCCCAGCGCCGCCCGGCAGGCCGCCGCAGACATCGTCAGCACCGCCACAGAGAGGCACTGCGACGCCGCCGGCCGGCACGTCTTTTTCAGGAAGCATTCGTGGAACATTTACGGGAGACCGATCCGGAGATTCAAGAGCACCGGCGGCATCTCAGAGGCCAGGGTTTCGCCAGACGTCTTCGAGGACCGGCTACAAGGATAAACGCGACCGAGCTCGCGCCGTTCATGATGCCTCGATCGACCAGGACGAACCCGCCGATGAAGACGATGAGGAGTACGCCGCCGATGCAGTAGAGCACGAGGCCTTAGTCACGCACCTCTCGCCCGACGAGCTGCAGCAGCGCGTGGCCGCCTTCAAGAGCAGGGTCGCCACCAGCGACAAGGGGGCCTCTCACGTTCGATTTCAGGCAACGCCAGAAGTGCGTCAGTTTTCCGTGGATTCTCGCGGAGCTCAGGCGGCGAGAAGCGGGACAAAATCATCGCATCAGGTCGACGTCATCTGGCATGTCCGGACGCCCTTGGACGTTTGCTTCCTCGAGGATTCCCAGGGTTTCTACATTGTCATCGACACAGGTTGCCAGCGCAACGTTGTGGGCTACGAGTGTTTGGGAAAGTTTCTGGAACATATCGCCTACCTGGGATTGAGTTTCTGGGAAGCTGAGGAGCAAGAGAGGTTTCGGTTTGGAGTCAGTCGTGCGGTGAGCAAATCTGTGGTGTATTTCCCGATATGTCTTGAACATGTGGTGCCCATGGTTTGCCGTACCTCAGTCTTGGACGTGAACCCTAAGTTGCCTTTCTTGGGATCGTTACCGATGTGGAAGCTCTTGGGCCTCCAGCTGGACACCTTGAGGGAAAGGGCTCATTTCACCAAGATCAACCTGTACGACGTGCCCTTGAAGATTGCCCCGAATGGCCACTTGCTTCTGAGAGTCGACTCTTGGTTGAAGGATGTGGGGTTCCCAAGGGAGCCCGAGGCCTGGAAGTTCACCCCCTCGGACGTCATCATCCCGGAGCCCCAGTGGATCCCAGAGGCACCAGCCTGTGTTTCCGGAGATAGTTGTGCTCAAGCCGAGTCTCAGCCTATGCAGTTTTCACGCGCAGCACTGTGTGCTCTTACATATACTCACCGCGGGCTGCGTCAGCCTCGCGAAGTCCTGCCCTCCGTGCCAGACGGCTGTAACCTGACCGACGCCACGCCCGTGTTCGAGAGCATCCTCGGTCTGTCGGTGAATGAAGTCGGTCAAGTCGGAGTCGCAGGAGGCCCGATCGTCTCGTCGTACAGTTCAGCTGACGAGGCAGAACCTGGCGATCAACGCGTGGACGAACCTGATGCAGCTGATCATGAACCACCTGTCGCACATCATCGGTCGCAGTCGCGAGCAGTTCCGGCAGAACATGGAGATGTCGAACCGGATGATGGGCGCGATCGCGCAGATGGGCCACGAGATGGGCTACCTGACACCGATGGCGGACTCAGTGAAGGCGATCGCGAGAGGAGCCGCACAGGTTCCAGAGAGCGTGCTGCCACCGCCGCCGGCACCAGAGGATCAAGCCCAGAACTACTCACAGCTGTGCGAGAAGAGGGACGTGTGCGCCCATCCGGCAACGAGGAGGTACTACGCCAAGGGGTACTGGCTGATCTGCGACCAGTGCGGCCGGCGGTGGAAGTCGGTCAACGGGAAGTGGATCGTGGACGACAAAGAAGATCCTCTTCGCGTACCTACCTCGACAAAGTCACTGGGTTCCTCCTCGCGCTCTCGGTCAGCTGCTTCAACAATGCCGAAACGCCCGGTCAAGTCTTCGGCGAGCTCGAGCCAGGGTCGCACGCGGACCAAGGCGGAGCCAAGGTCACCCTCGGAGCAGGCGGTTCCGACGGACGAGGAGTACGACGAGAACATGGACAGGACCTCCGGGGGCGAGGAGACGGACCAGGGATGGGACAAGCTTCCGCGCCAGCCTCCCCCGCGTCGGGGACCGAGATGGTGAAGAGAGGCGCCTGGAAGCGCCTTCTCGGCATTGCTAAGAAGACGACCGCAGCCTGCGAGACGCTTATTAACGTGAGTCAAGATGCCGATCGCCGAGCTGCCGATTTACGAGACGCGGAATGGTGCTGTTCGGACGTGGCCTTCATGGACATTCCCGTTCCTGAGTTGCCCGACCACCGGTACCTGGACAACGAGTGCCAGGCGTGCGGCACCGACCTCATTGAGGGCTGCGCAGGGACAGCAAGACCTACGCGACTCGCTTCACGCTTTGAGCTGAGGGCCTCGCCGAGCGCCGACATAGAGGACGGCTGGGACTTGTCAACTACGCGAGGTGCTCAGAGATGGAAAGATCAGATACTGAAAGACAAGCCACTCTACGTGATCGTAGGCTTCCCCTGCACGCTCTGGTGCTCCTACAATGTCAATGTGAATTACGTCGACCATCCCGAGCTGCTTGAGAGACTTCGTGCTCGGGATCGACGGCTGATTGACTTGATCAAGTGGACCATCAAGTACCAGGTGAAGCATGGCCGGTTCTTCTTGTTCGAGAACCCGCCGACGTCAGCGATCTGGAAGGACCTCCAGTTCGCCCCGCTCCTGCCCTTGGGCGAGACCGTTATCGGCCATGGGTGCCAGTACGGGAAGACAGGCAAGACTGGCCTGCCGATTCGCAAGGCGTATCGCTGGTTCTCCAACTCGCCGCCTGTGCTTGCGGCTCTGAGCCGCCGCTGCCCAGGACTTCGTCCGGAGTCCGGGGGCCACTTGCACGATCCGATTGAGAACTCGAAGTGGACAAAGGCCAGCGGCGAGTACACCGACGAGATGGCCCACGCGATGCTCTACGCGATCCAGCAGGTCGCCGCCCAGAGGAATCCGAGCAGGTTCGCCGACATGCCGGTTGCGGCTACCGAGTGGGAGGTCGCCTACAACCACGCAGGTCCCATCGAGGTGCTGTTCGCCTCGCCAGAGAAGGACCCCACCAGGTGGGAGGCGGTCATGCAGGGCGTCCGACAGATCGTGGGCGGTTCCGCCAGCCGAGGCGGGAACAAGGCCATGCATTACCTTTCGAAGTCGTCCGCGCTCTGGAGACAGATTAGCCAGCTCGTCCCGTGGGACCTCACGATGATCCAGCTCGCGAAGGCAGCCAAGCAAAGGAGGTTCCCCATCAACAAGGAGCCGTGGTCTCACCGTGGTCACTGCTACGTGGACGAGAAGGGACATTACCATATCGAAGCCGAGGACCTGGTTGACGTGGCCTTCCCGACGTTGGCCTTGTCGCCGCCCGCGGACCTAGCCGTTTTCTCCTTCGGCTATGCCAAGCAGGAGTCCCTCCCGCAGGAGCCTGACACGTCACAGATAGAGAAGCGAATGCCGCTTCCCCCGGACCCGAACGACCCGATGCTGCCGAACAACAGCCTGCCGCCCGACGAGGACGACGACCTGCAGGACGTCCCGATCGCTCGGATGCCTGACGCGTCCGGCGGTATGGCTGGTATACGTTTTGTTGGAGTGACAAAGGAGCAGTGTCCTCGTGAAGTTCGCCAGCTTGTCGCTCGTATGCACTGTAACTTGGGACATCCGGTGCCCAGCGAGTTCTTCCAGTTCCTGGCTCAGAGAGGCGCCTCGCAGGCTACGCTGCTGTGCGCCAGAGCGCTGAGGTGCCCGGCGTGCCTTCGTCGCAAACGGCCTCAGCGACAGCGGGAGTCACAGATTCCAAGGGTGGGTCTGTTCAACGACTTAGTCAAGGGCGACTTGTTCTACGTCATGACCCACGACGGTACGACACACGCACTCTTGGGACTGGTGGACAAAGCTACGAGACTACATGTGGTGTGTCGGATTGTTTCACGCGAACCAGGAGACGTCTGGGAGAAGTTCCAGACGTGCTGGCTCACCCCGTTCGGGATTATGCAGATTCTGGTTGTCGACAGGGACGGCGCCTTCGAAGCCGTGTTCATGGACAACTGCCACACGTTGGGAATCGACGTGAGGTACGTGCCGCCGGGAGCTCACTGGCAGTTGGGCCTGGCCGAATCCGGCAACTACGCCTGGCGCCGAGTCTTCGAGAAGGTGATCGACGTCATCCTGCCGACGATGCCAGAGCACGTGGACCTTGCGATCATCTCGACGAGCCACGCCGTAAACCAGTCAGTGCGCCGAGCAGGCCGCGCCGCCTATGCCGCCGCCTTCGGACGGGTACCCACGCTTCCGACCGAGCTCTTGGCTGACACCACGTCCGCCGAGTTCTGGCACAATTGCACCCAGGATGAGATGCTGGCCTACGGGGAGAGATGCCGCATTGAGGCGCTCAAGGCGATCGCCGACCTGGAGGCCGACGAGGCGCTGCGTACCTCCATCCTCCGCCAGCCTGTCAACCGCAAGGAGTACGACTTCCTCTCGGGACAGCGCGCGGCAGCCTGGGGCGAGCATGGTCGCAAGCGACGGGGCAAGACGCCCGTGGCAGGGTATCGCCCAGGCATTTTCTGTTTCTGGGATTCCGGCACCAACGGCTACGGCGAGGGCGAGTCTGCCTGGTTGCGGATCGGGCACCGCACTGTGCAGGTGGCCCGCGAACACATACGCCCAGCCGTCGGTTTCGAGGGCTGGACCCCTTCCGAGGAGGACCTCAAGGAGCTCAAGACGGCCGAGCAGGACTTGGCGAAGGCCGGCCCGGGCGACGCTTCGAACATCATCATTGAGGGCCCTCCTGAACAACAACCCGAACCAGAAGATCCTCAAGCACGAGTGCTGCCAGGACCTCTTCCGGCAGCCCCGCTAGAGCCCATCCTGGAGGAGCCCGCGCAGGCCTCTCTGGGAGACAACGCTACCAAAGAGAACTTCAGGAGCGCGTCAGCCGACGACGCCCCTGAAGCTGCGCCAAGTGCTGAACTTCCTCAACTTGCCGACGCATCGGAGTCTCCGACGCCGACAGGCCAGAGCGGTACCCGGCGTCGAGCCCAGAGTCGAGCCGAAGGCGAAGCTCCAGAGCCCGCTGCGCCCTTTCCGTGGCCGGCACCGCCTCAGTTTGGACCAGTCAGAACACGAGAGCGCTCTGCGACGCCCACGCCGAGGAGATCAGCACCTCATACCCGCGAGTCGTCCGCAGCTCGACCACCATCGAGCGGTTCGGCACCTTCGACGGTTATCGCACCACCACCGGAGAAGAAACCCCGACCAGGAAAGCTTCCTCACATACCGGGCTCACCGAGCCCAGCAGCCTTCGTGTCCAACGAGTCGGACGAGATGGAGTTCATCACACCGGATGGCTGGGACGGAGTCGAGGAGCCAGTCCTGCTCAGGACCCGCGTGTTCTCGAGCCTGGCGGAGGTCCAGGAGGCCTACGAGGCGCACCTCTTGCCCATCGAGAACTTCGAGAACGACCCGATCGACGACAGCGAGCCGGACGACGACTGGACAAACTGCCTGTGCATGACCTACCACGAGCTCTCCGACCTCAGGGACGGCGAGATGGACGTGGACTGTGCGACAGCACAGGTGGGCGACACGACGGACTCGAACAACCTGTCGAGACGCGAGCAGCGTCAACTGGATCGTGAAATCCCCTGGCGGGAGATCGCAGAGTACCCGGAGGACCAGTTCATGGAGTACGTCAAGAGTCAAGGCCTTGCGCAAGGAGTGCCAGAACTGGGACACCTGGAAGTCCGTTCGGGCCTGCTCGCAGGAGGAGGCCGAACAAGTTCGTCGTGACCCTCATCTCCGCAAACGGTGCATCCGCTCGCGCGTGTGCTACCGGGACAAGAACTTGGGGTTTCCGCCGTTGAAGGCCAAGGCTCGCCCGGTGTTGCTCGGGTTCTCCGACCCCGACCTGGAGAAGTTGCCGCGTAACGCCCCGGTGCTGACCGACGCTGGCAAGAAGCTGATCTGCCAGATCGCGGTCTCGAATGACTGGCGAGTCGGGACCGGAGACGCGGAGAGCGCCTTTCTCCAGGGAGGCGCCCAGAGCGAGCGCGAGGAGGCGATCTACATGATTCCGCCCAAGGACCCGATAGTTCAAGCCGCCGGAGTTTTCACCGCCCCACTCTACGAGGTGGTCGGCAACCTGTACGGTCAGTCGACGGCGCCGTACCTATGGTACAAGCACGTGGTGACGACCTTCCTGGCGCTGGGCAGCAAGCTCCACAGCCTCGATTCAGCTCTCTTCCTGTGGTTTTTTTCCGAACAATGAGTTGGCTTGCGCGGTGGGTATGCACGTGGACGATGCTCTTGCGGCACACCATCCCAGGTTCGACTTCACACCGATCGAGAAGGCTATTAAATGGCGAGGCTGGCAGTGGGACAACTTCGTCTTCCTCGGCGAGGAGTACCAGCGCCTACGTCAAGGTCCGTACAGCGGAAGTTTGTTTGTTCATCAAGCGGCCTACACTAAGGCGATTGCAGTCACGAAGGTTGGAGTTATGTCCAGCACTCGGTCTTCTTCTAAGCTGACGCGTTCTGAGCGCGAAGATCTGGAGTCTGCTGTCGGCTCGCTCCAGTGGTTGTCCGGACACACACGTCCAGACCTGTCAGCCGCGGTTTCCCTTGTCCAGAGGACCGACCCCGAGCTGAACGACCTACGGATGGCCATGAAGCACGTAGAGTACGCGCACCGCACAGCCCAGACTGGCATCCTGATCGTCCGCGTCGATTTGAGCCGCGCCTGCTTCGTGAGTTTTGCAGACAGCTCATGGGCGAACGCTCCAGGATTGAAGACCCAGATCGGCACCCTCATCTTTCTGGCAGACGAGGTGATACTCACCGGACCCACGTCATGTACTCTCTTGTTTCACAAGTCCAAGAGAACGCCGAGAGTGGTAAGATCTACGCTGGCTGGGGAAGCTATCGCGCAGGACCTGGGAGTGGACTACGCGTCGTACTTGTCGAAGTTCCTGTCCGAGATGTTGACTGGACGGCCTGCTGGCCGACACCCACCGATCTTCGAGGTTATCACCGTCACCGACTGCAAGTCTCTGTGCGATGCCCTCCACCAGCTCACCCCGAGTTTGTCTGAGAAACGTACTGTGATCGACGTGATTTCCATTCGTGACGAGGTGAAGGTCAAGAACGTCAGATGGATCCCTACGACACACATGATAGCCGACGGCATGACCAAGTTCCTGGCGGATCCAGTGCTTTCGCTCGTGGAGTCGATTGCTTGCGAGGAGCTGACCGGTGGGGATGGCCAAGTACAGAAGAAGTGATTTGACTTTTTTACTTGCACGTGCCGGGAGTCGCGTTTCACTCCCATCCGCTTGGTTTCGCCCAAGATATTGCGAGTTTGACTTTTTTACTTGCACGTGCCGGGAGTCGCGTTTCACTCCCATCCGCTTGGTTTCGCCCAAGATATTGTGAGTTTGATTTTTTACTTGTACGTGCCGGGAGTCGTGTTTCACTCCCATCCGCTTGGTTTTACCCAAGATATTACCGATTCCGGATGCCGTATCGAGTTTCGGTTTATTGATTTCAGCTGCCGATCCTTGGCCGCTCAGAGAATTCAGTTACTGTTTTATTTCGTGCTAATCCAAGTCCGTGCTGCAAACAAACCCGTTGTATAGCCAGGCCGCATTCCGAGCTTCAGAGCAGGACCAGAGAGAACTCCAGGAGTGCAATAGTCATTCTGTTTATCTGATAATGCTGGTCCCTGCTATTGCTGTTGCACGCTCTCACCCCTCTGCCCGTAAACATATTGGCTGAGGGGGCCCCCTTCTGCCTACGCTACCAGCTAGCATAACGTATCATTTGCAGCGAGAAGGTCTTGGAATAAAAGATTCACGCATATTGTCAGCACCTGCGTGTGCGTTGCAAGGAGGAGGCGGACCCTTACGCAGGAGGACCCCTTGAGCAGCCAGGAGGGCTCGCGCCGCACGCCATCGCAGTCTGCCCGCGACACTTCCAACCCCTGCGGTGGCGGCACTCTCGCGGGCCCAGCGGGCTGGCGGGCAGCTGGGAATGCCGCGCCTGCGACGTGGCCCTCCTGGGTAGCGACGTCTCGCCGCCGCAGGGCGCGAGACCGCCGCGCTGCCCCTGCGGACGGCCAGGGCCAATCGAGTGGGTCGCCAGGGCCGCCAGGGCCACAGGAGGGTCGTGGAGATGGTACGGGGCCTGGCTCTGCGAGGGCTGCGCCGCCACGCCGCTTCCGGAGCCAGTGGTCGCCGCCCCTCCGTCGCCGCCCGCGACAACAGCAGACGCAGGAGACCCTCGACTGGCGCGCCCCGAACAGGCGCCCACCGCCGCAGAGCAACGGCAGCCTGGCCGCTTCGCCGGATGGCCTCCCCTGGCGGGCCCACTACGAGAACGAACCAACTCACGCGTGTACGTGCCCTTGCTATTAGCAGCGGCGGGGCTGCTTGACCAGCAGGAGGCGGCGGGATGGAGCGCGCACCCGCTCACGCACGACTGGTGGCAGCCGACAGTGGAGGCCTTGCAGCAAGCGGACGCCGTGCCAGCCGAGACCTTCGCCCAAGGGCTGGAGTTCGCAGGGGCCAGCCCAGGGGCGATATATGCCGTGATCGCCGCTGGGGGCGGAGCACGCCCTGGACACGTGCACCTGCCGCCTGTGGCGAGAGCGCTGGCGGACAGCGCTGGCTACATCGACAACCTCGCCCAGGACCTCTTGCTCGAGCTCTTCGGGGGGGGTCGTGCTGGCGCGGGGGGTCGACCGGCGCGCAGACGAGCTCCGCGACCCGGCCAGGTGGGCCGCAGCCGCGCCACACCCGCCGAGGCCGCCACCAGCGGCGCCAGCAGGACCTCAGCCCAGCGACGACGCCAGCGAGGGGGGCCCAGGAGAAGGCAGAGGCCGAGGAGGCAGAGGAGGAAGAGGCGCCAGAGGAAGCAGAGGGCGAGGCGCTAGAGGGGGCCGAAGAGGAAGAGGCACCAGAGGAGGGGGAGGAGGGGGAGGAGGCAGCTCGAGCAGCAGCACCGCCAGCGAGAGCGAGGAGGACACTGAGGACAGCGCCTCCAGCAACTCTGGCCCCGCGCTGCCCGCGCCGCTGGCCCAGCCCCGCCGAGACGGGGGCGCGGGACGAGCTGCTCCTCCCCGGGCGCTCCTGGGGCGCCGCGCCGCCCACGCCCGCGCTCGCTTGACGGCGGCAGAGAGGGAAGCGCTGGACGCGACAGACGTAGCATCTGTGCTCCGGGCCCGCGTGCCAACCCTCCAACGGGCGCCAGCGTTCGGGCGGGGGCCGTTCCGCAACGCCTTGCGCAAAGCTTTGGAGCTGATCCGAGAGGGCGAAGCAGACGAGACAGGAGCAGCGGGAGGGTGGAAGCTTTTCCTCTTGCTCCCACGACTGCTCTTGAGGAGAGAGGCGGGGCAGCAAAGGACCCCCAAGGAGCAACTCCTGGAGAGGTTCACCCGCTTCGAGGCTGGAGACTGGGCGCAGCTTCTGACAGAAGCACAGCCGGGCCCGCCGCGCAGGCCGCCCGAGCGAGACGCGAACGGGCAGAGCAGGGCGCCCGAGGCACGACGGGGCCGGGCGCCAGACGAAAACGAGGAGCTCCGCAGCCGCTGCGGGAGGGCCCGCGAGCTGATCCGCCTCGGCGAGGTCTCGGCGGCGCGGCAAGCGCTGACAGCGAGCGCGGTGGCACCAGGCACACAGGCCACTCTGGACGAACTCCGGGACCCGGCACGCCGCCTGCAGCAGCCGAGAGAGCAGCTCAGCGAGCGAGCCGCCCGCGCGCCGCCGCAAGGCCTCGCCAGCCTGGAACCAGACCGCCTCCTCACGAACGTGCGCAGGAGTCGCCGGGGCGCTGCGCCGGGCCCCTCAGGGATGACGGGAGAACACTTGCAGACGCTGCTGGACGACGAGCACTGCTGCGACCTCCTGCACCACGCTGCCACGCTCCTTGCGAGGGCGCAAATCCCTGGCCCCGTGGCAGAGGCCCTCCGGCTCGGCCGCCTCACGGCGCTGCGCAAGAGCAACGGGAGGGTGCGAGGCATTGTGACTGGCGACGTCTTCAGGCGGTTGGTTGCCCGCACGCTGGCGCAGCAAGTGGGCGAAGAGGTCGAGCAGGCGACTGCCCCCTTCCAGTTCGCACTCTCGACCCGAGCAGGCACGGAATGCGTGGCGCACCTCGTGCAGACTCTCACCCAGGGTGACCCGGCGGCCACGGTGGTTTCCATAGACGGAATCGTCTGGAACAGGGGAGGGCAGGAGCCACTTGGCATCCGAGAGCTGGGCTCAGCAGCGGACCGGGTGTGGGTAGGAGGAGCAGACACCCCGCCGGAAGCCCAGGGCTTGGTCGTTCTGGGGGCCCCGATAGGCCACGGAGCTTTCGTCGCCCAACACCTGGAGGCCATCCTGGAAGAACACCGCCGCTTGCTCGCGAGGATACCACACGTCGGGGACCTGCAATCCTCGTGGCTCCTGCTCAGCATGTGCGCCAACCCCCGGGCCAACTTCTTCCTGAGGGCGCTGGCTCCCGAGGACACGGCCGCCTTCGCCGCAGCGCACGACGACAACCTGGCCAACGCGCTCGCCGACTTGCTGGAACTCCCGCAAGAAGCTGTCGCAGAAGGCACGTCAGCGCGCCAACGCTGCCAACTGCCGCTTTGCATGGGGGGGCTCGGCCTGCGAAGCGCGTCCAGGACGGCGCCGGCGGCCTGGTGGGCTTCCTGGGCAGACTGCGCGCAGATGCTCCGCGAACGCTGCCCCGAGCTCACAAACCAGATCTGCGCTGCACTGAGCGAGCTGGACCGGGGCCCGCTGCCGGCCGCTCCCGGGTGCTTACAACAAGCCAGCAGGGCAAAGGAGCACCTCTCGGCGCACGGCTTCGCCGCGCCCAACTGGCACGACCTTGCGCAGGGCGCCCGGCCACCGCCGACGCACGAACGGGAGCACGGCGAATGGGCGCACGGCTGGCAGTTCTGGGCCGCCAGAGTCTTGGAGAACACAGCCCGACAGCAGCTCCTCAACGCCTCCACGCCACCGGACCGCGCCCTCCTCCGGTCACAGAGCGGGCCGTGCGCGGGACGAGCCTTCACCGCGCTGCCCACGACGGGGGACTTCCACATCCCGCCGGCAGAATTCAGAGTCCTGCTCCTCAGGCGCTTGCGATTTGATTTACCCTTCGCAGCGAGCGCTTGCAGATGCAGAGGCAGACTGGACGCCAGAGGTGACCACAGAGCGGCGTGCCCAAGGGCAGGGGTGCTCAAGAAGAGATCCATCCCATTGGAGAAAGCGGCTGCACGTATCTGCCGCGAGGCCGGGGGCCGAGTCGCAGAGAACCAGCTCCTGCGAGACCTCAACGTGGACGGCGTCGACCCCCGCGACGGGCGCAAGATCGAGGTCATCGCGAATTGCCTGCCGCTCTGGGGAGGAGCGCAGCTGGCGATTGACGCGACCCTGGTGTCGCCAGTCCGCACCGACGGCACCGCGCAGCCCAGAGCCGCGGACGAGGACGGAGTCCAGCTCGAGGTCGCGCGGGGCCGGAAGGAAGCGACCTACCCCGAGCTCATCGGGTCAAGGAGATGCCGATTGGTGGTGCTGGGCTTGGAAGTCGGCGGCAGGTGGTCCGAGGAGGCCCTGACCTTCGTCCGGCTGCTCGCCAGGACCAGAGCCCGCAGCGCGCCGCAGCGACTTCGAGCGTCGGCGCGGGCGGCGTACCTACACCGCTGGACAGGCTTGGCTGCGGTCGCGGCCCAGAGGGCGTTCGCGGCCACGCTGCTGGAGTTGCCGCCGCACACCCTGGCCGTCGACGGGGACGAGCCGCACCTCGCCGACCTCCTGGCGGACGCCCGCTACACGGAGACGCCGGCCCCTAGCCGACTGCCGCCGTGTTTCTGACGCGGTGGAACGGGCGCGGCCCCACCCTGGGGGCCCGCCCGCCGGCGCAGCAGGAGGACCAGCAGAACCACTACAACCACTACCACAACTGCGACAACAAGCAGCGGCAGCAGCTGCAGCATAACCGCCACCACCACGCCTACGACCAGCAGCGCCACCACCGCCAGCAAGGCGACCAGCACCACCACCACCACGACGGCGACCAGGGGCAGCACGGCGACCAGCAGCACCACGACAACAACTACCACTACAGCGACAACAAGCAGCAGCAGCAGCAGCAGAAGCAGCAGCAGCACCACCACCACCACCACCACAACCACTACGACTACCACCAGCAGCGCCACCACAACTTGCACGGCGACCAGCACCACCACCACGACGGCGACCAGGGGCAGCACGGCGACCAACAGAAACACGACAACTACTACCACAACTGCGACAACAAGCAACAGCAGCAGCAGCACCACCACCGCCACCACCACCACGACGGCGACAAGGGGCAGCACGGCGACCAGCAGAACCACGACAACTACTACCACAACTTTGACAACACGCAGCAGCAGAACCACCACCACAACTACGACGACTACGACCAGCAACGCCACACCCGCCAGCACGGCGACCAGCACCACCATCACCACCACCACCACCACCACCACCAAGGCGACCAGGAGCAGCACGGCGACCAGCAGCACCACGACAACCAATACAACTACAGCGACTACAACAAGCAGCAGCAGCAGCAGCAGCAGCAGCAGCACCACCACCACAACCACTACGACTACGACCAGCAACGCCCCCACCACCAGCACGGCGACCAGCACCACCACCACCGCGACGCCGACCAGGGGCAGCACGGCGACCAGCAGCACCACGACGGCCACTACAACCACAGCGACAACAACAAGCAGGACCACCAGCAGCAGCAACACCACCACCACCACAACCATCACGACCATGACCAGCAACGCCACCACCACCAGCACGGCGACCAGCACCACCACCACCACCACGACGGCGACCAGGAGCAGCACGGCGACCAGCAGCACCACGACAACTACCACCACAACTGCAACAACAAGCAGCAGCAGCGGCAGCAGCAGAGCCACCACCACCACCACTACGACTACGACCAGCAGCGCCACCACCACCAGCACGGCGACCAGCACCACCACCACCGCCAAGACGGCGACCAGGGGCAGCACAACTGCGACAAGCAGCAGCAGCCGCAGCACCACCACCACCACGCCGACAAACAGCAGAGCCACCACCACCAGCACGGCGACCAGCACCACCACCACCACGATGGCGACCAGGAGCAGCAGAGCGACCAGCAGAACCACGACAATTACTACCACAACTGCGACAACAAGCAGCAGCAGCGGCAACAGCAGAACCACCACCGCAACCACTACGACTACGACCAGCAGCGCAGCGACAACAAGCAGCAGCAGCAGCAGCAGCAACACCACCACCACCACCAGCACCACCACCACCACAACCACCACAACCACTACGACTACGACCAGCAGCGCCACCACTACCAGCACGGCGACCAGCACCACCACCACGACGGCGACCAGGAGCAGCACGGCGACCAGCAGAACCACGACAACTACTACCACAACTGCGACAACAAACAGCAGCAGCAGCAGCAGCAGCAGCAGCAGCAGCAGCAGCAGCACCACCACCACCACCACCACCACCATCACCACCACCACCACCACCACCTTCACAACCACTACGACTACGACCAGCAGCGCCACACGCACCAGCTCGGCGACCAGCAGCAGCAGCAGCACCACCACCACTACCACCACCACCACTACGGCGACCATGAGCAGCACGGCGACCAGCAGCACCACGACAACCACTATAACTACAGCGACAACAGCAAGCAGCAGCAGCAGCAGCAACAGCAGCAGCAGCAGCACCACCACCACCACCACAACCACTACGACTACGATCAGCAACGCCCCCACCACCAGCACGGCGACCAGCACCACCACCACCACGACGGCGACCAGGGGCAGCACGGCGACCAGCATTACCACGACAACCACCACAACTACAGCGCCAACAACAAGCAGCAGCAGCAGCACCACCACCACCACAACCACTACGACTACGACCAACAACGCTACCACCACCAGCACGGCGACCAGAGCCACCACCACCACCACCACCATGACGGCGACCAGGGGCAGCACGGCGACCAGCAGAACCACGACAACCACTACCACTACGGCGACAACAAGCAGCAGCACCCGCATCAGAAGCAGCAGCAGCAGCAACAGCAGCAGAACCACCACCACCACCACCACCACCACTACGACTACAACCGGCAGCGCCACCACCACCAGCACGGATACCACTACCACCACCACCGCGACGGCGACCAGGGGCAGCACAGCGACCAGCAGCACCACGACAACCACTACCACATCAGCGACAACAAGCAGCAGCAGCAGCAGCAGCAGCAGCAGCAGCAGCAGCAGCAGCAGCAGCACCACCACAACCACTGCGACTACGACCAGCAGTGCCGCACCCACCAGCACGGCGACCAGCAGCAGCAGCAGCACCACCACCACCACCACGGCGACCAGGAGCAGCACGGCAGGGCCCGCGCGGACGCCGGCGCGGCAGGGGGCGACGGCGGCCGGCGACGGCTGGCGGCGGCGGGCCGGCGGCAGCTGCTGGGCCCGCGACGGGGCCGCGGAGGCCGAGGAGGCGGAGGAGGAGGCGGGCGCTGGGGCGAGGAGGCGGAGGGCGGCAGCGCGGGGGCCCCGCCGCCCTTTGGCTAGGAGGGGCTCGGGGAGGCACGCCAGAGCGGGCCCCGAGTGAGGGTGGGGCTAGAACGCCCGCGACTCTCGGGGCGGCCGGGGGGGGCCCGCAGCGCAGCCGCGCCAGGAGCCAGACGAGGCGCCGCGGCCGGCGGAGCCCAGCTGCGAGGGGGCGGAGGCGGAGGCGGCGGGCTGCGGCTGGCTGGGGCCCGCCAGGGGCCGGCCGAGGCGCGAGGGGGGCGGCGCGCTGGCTGGCGGAGGCGGGGGGCGCCGAGGTGGGGCCGGGCTCGGCCGCCCGCCGGCCGGCGGGGCGGACGGGGGCGGCGGCGGCGGCGGGGGGCGGCGGGCCTGAGGCCTAGGCCGACGGCGGCGGGCGGCGGGCCACTGCAGGGGCCCCGCGCGGCGGCCTCGGCTTGGCGTGAGCCCGCGCAAAAAAAAAAAACGGGCAGGGAGGGGCCGTAGGCAGTTCGACCGTTCAGGAGGGCATTCCTTTGAGCCCGGCTGTTGTTGTGAATTGGTTATACCAGGCCTGTGCTGATGTCGTTTTTTTTGTTGCATCGGCGACTGGGGGAGGGCCAGTTTGATTGTAATGGGGTTATTCCTGATGGTACCTTGGGCGAGTGCGCGCTCATGCGGGGTAGTTTCCTGGGAGCTGTGCGTGATCAGGCGATGGCGGCATGGGGCTATGATATTGACTTGGCTGTGTTCCTAGCAGAGGGGGTGGACTGGGCGGCGACCTGGGCCCCTCTCACGCGTCATCTCGGCCAGCTTGGATATAAGACTGCATCTTTAAACGCCCAGAAGTTTCGAGTTGACCCGCGCGACCCACTTCCATGGATCGAGCACGCAGCCATGCGGGACTCTCTGGCCGCAGAGGGGAGGCTGAGCCGCGCGGCCTTAGAGGGGGCAGCGACAGCGGCCCTCCATCAGGGTCGGCTCGCCCAAGAGCCCCACGGCGTTAACGTCATAGAAAAAAAGAAATTTATGTTGTGAGGCCGTATTATGATATTCGAGTTTTGGCAACGAAGCTCCACAATGTTCACCTCCCGTTGCTTTTTCCATTGCGAGGTGGGTTTCTCGGGCCGCTTCGTTTGAAGATGCCGCGTACCGATAGCATTTTGAAGGGTGACTATGGGCCACGTTTCTCGGAGCAGCGGAGAGCGAATATCCGGAGCGGGACGACGCGGTGGCTTGATGCGCCGCCCTCGGTGCGGCGGGCGGCCTGGCCGACGACGGCTATTCTGCGGGCAGGCGAACTACTTTGCATTTGAGGTTTTTGTTGTGCCTTGTTGCTGCCGCCCTAGCCTTTGCGTCATGTCGTCCTCTATGAAAAGTGCAACCCGCCATTTTTGCAAGACGGCGCTGCGCTCTGGCAAATCTGTTGGCCTGCCCCGCGGACGTTGTCGTCTTCTTGCCGTCGCCGTCGCTTCTCTCGTCGTCTTCTTTGTCGTTGTCGTCGCTTGGTCTCGTGTCGTCTTGGGTTGCTGGCAAGATGTCACCCTGTCCACAGCGTCATATTCTCTTCAGGTTATTGCATCGCCGTCTTTGCTCGCGAGGCCGTCAGCTCTTGACAGTTAGATGTAGTGGGGTTGCCCCAACCGCCCTTCGTGGCTTATCAAATCACATGTTGTACTGCTGCATGCAAACGGCCATCTGCTTCCACGCACCCATGTTGCATGGCATGTTGTTCTTGTTTTGTTGGTGCGCAGACCATTGGTTTATTATCATAGCCCCGCGGCCCACTCCGCCCTTCATGTGCTGCTGGCCTGGGTGCCGTTGGTGCCGTGTCGTTCCACTCTGGGCGTGTCTGTCCTGACTGCGAGGTTGTCTCGAGTGTTGTTGTTCTTTTGTTCTTGTGTGTGGCTCCCCTCGTCCGCCTCTCGTGCTGCCGCGGTGCTGCGCCGTGCCTTGGCGCCTTGCCGCGTCGTGGTGCTGTGTCGTGGTGCTGTGTCGTCGTGCCAATCGATGCTCGAATGGCGTCTGCAGCCTGATCCGGCTTTCAGCTGCAGTTTCGGGCCTCCCCCCTTGAACAGAGAAGAGGTGCCCCTGCGCCTTCGAGCCATGGGCGGGCGAGGCAGACGAAGGAGTACTCGCGCTACCGGCGCGAGAGGCGGGGCAGATCGCGCACCAGGAGGAGGAGACGGAGGACATCGCCTCCTTCTTCGGCGCGCTCTGTCCAGGTTGCTCCCACAGAGAGAGCGTCGAGCTCCCCTGGCCGCGAGGCTCGTGGCTCGTCGGCAGAGCTCGGGGCCTTGCTGCCGTCTATGCACGGAGGCAGTCCGCCTGGGGCATCGTTGGGCCCGCCGCCTGGTGACTTCACCATCGTCGGAGGCACGACCGGCAAGGCCTGCGTGGAGCGCCCGCCAGCGACCCTGAGGCCAGCCCGCTCCCTGGGCTCACACTCTCCCCCCGATGGCTGGCATGGGGCAGCGCCGCCGTCGCCGCTGCCGCCGCCGCCGCCCCCGCTCCCGCCGCGTGCGGGGGTGGTCGAGGGGGCGCTGCCTGCTCACGCGCGCTCGTCGCCCGTTAGATCCGCTGCGGGAGCGTGCCCGCCGTCACCTGGTCCTCCACAAGTGAGCCCGCCTCCTCTACCGATCGGGTGGGAGTCCAGGCGCGATTTTTCTGGTGCTCTGTACTATCAGCATCGCGCCTCGGGGCAGACGCAGTGGACTTACCCAGACCCCGCGCCCCCCACAGTGGGCTTGGCAGCGCCTGGGGGCCCTTCCCAGCAGCACGCTTCCCAGCAGCACGTGGAACTTCAAGCTATCAGGGCAAAGTTGCAGGTGCTGCAAGCGACTCCAGTCTTGTGGGACGAATTTGCAAGCCCTGCTGGCGGTAAAGTGTGGATCCATCGGGACGCGAGCGTGGTCTCGCGTGGGGTCCCGCCTGAGGCTGCCCAGAAGCTCGTTCGCACTTCTGCCGTTAAAGAGCGCTTGGCCGCGTTGTCCCAGCACCTGCCGCCAGTTGGGGGAGTGGCGCCGCCGCAGTCAGCAGTGGTGGAGCCAGCGCGGCATGCTTCTGTAGCGCCCCACAACTTTTTAACCCTGCCAGAATCGCCGGGCGTGCCGGCTCTCCGTGCCTGCTGCCGCGCCCGCGCCCCAGGGGGGGTCGGCGGTTGCTGTTCGGTCGGCGCCGCGGGCTCCGCCATGCCAGCGGGGGAGGCACTTGTGCACGCCAGGTCCCTGGCCAAGTTTACTACAGTCGAGGAACACAACGAAGCTATCGGCGCTTGGCGCCAGCGCCTGCGCGACGTTGTAGGTGACAGCATAGACGGCAGAGTACCCACGCAGGCTCATTTTTTAGTGCGGTGCCCTAGCCAGTCTGACCTCTATGATTTGGTTCGCGCAATGGGGGTCGAAGTGCTGTTGGATGGCCCCCGCGCGGGCCCAGACGTGGCACTGCCCTTTGCAACCGTTTCGGGCGACTTTGACCAGCCAGGCTTGGAAGTTACCTGGAAGACGTCCCCAAATTTAAAGCTGACAGTGCAATTGCAAAACAACCGCCAGGGTAAGATCGTAGTTAAGGGCAAACGGGGTGCATTTGAAGCCTGCTTAGATCAGCTTTTGCTGTTCCTCGGCCACGCAACGGACATTAAGTCCGCTGCGGCTCCAGTGCGCGCTCCGGCCCCGGGCGCCCAGCGCAGGCCCACCCGGTGGTCAGTGGGCGACTTGCTCGGCAGGCGTTGAGTTCCGGGGCGCATCGCGCTCAGCCATTTTGGCCTCCCCCCCGCTTGTCCTGTTCTCTGCCCCTGCCTTTTTCCTCCGCTTGCGCAGACGCTCGGCGCGTGCCTGACGGCAGCCATCTAAGCGGCGGCGGCGTCGGCAGTGGGATGGGGCGGAGGCCGCGGGGCCTTCCGCGCATGCCCCTGCAGGGGCGGTCGTTGCCATGCTCCAGGGTGGTGCCTGCTTATATCGATTGTCAGCAGCGGCTCCTTGACAGGCGGCAGGGGGCACGCGGTGCGCTTGGGAAAAGATGGCTGAGCTTGTGACCCCTCGATTACTCTTGCTCCTGGTTCGCACGTCGTCCTCCTGGTCCGCGGCCGGCGGAGCCCCGCTGCGAGGGGGCGGAGGCGGAGGCGGCGGGCTGCGGCTGGCGGGGGCCCGCCAGGGGCCGGCCCAGGCGCGAGGGGGGCGGCGCGCTGGCTGGCGGAGGCGGGGGGCGACGAGGTGGGGCCGGGCTCGGCCGCCCGCCGGCCGGCGGGGCGGACGGGGGCGGCGGCGGCGGCGGGGGGCGGCGGGCCTGAGGCCTAGGCCGACGGCGGCGGGCGGCGTGCCACTGCAGGGGCCCCGCGCGGCGGCCTCGGCTTGGCGCGAGCCCGCGCAAGGAGGAAACAAAACAAAAAAAAAAAACAAGCCGCCATTTTTGCAATGCGGCGCTGCGCTCTTGCAAATCTGTCGGCCTGCCTTGCCGGCGTTGCTGCCTTCTTGCCGTCTTGTTCCCCTGTCGCCTTCTAAGGTTGAAAATGCCAGCCGCCATTTTTGCAAGACGGCGCTGCGCTCTTGCAAATCTGTCGGCCTGCCTCGCCGGCGTTGCCGTCGTCTTCCGTCGCCTTCGCCCCCCTCGTCGTCTTCGTCGTCGTCGTCGTCGTCGTCGTCGTTTGGTCTCGTGGCGCGTTGCTGGCTTTTTGTTACCCTACTTTGTCGTTCTCTCCTAGTTTTTCTGGTGGAACCTGCGCCAGTGGGAGGAGTGGGAGGAGTCCACGAAGATGTGGCGCTTGGGAGGAGGTCCTGCTGTCGAGTCTCTTGTTCGCCCTTCGCGTTGTCTTTTGTTTTGTTCCCGCGTTTCTTGTAAGTTGGAGCGCATGTTTGCCATCCATGGAGCAAGGCCGCAGAACGCTCACGCATGCCCGTGCGACGCCGGCGGTCTTGCTTTGTCTCTCCTTCGGTCGCCCTCTCCGTTCTCGCGCCCTCTGCCACCGCGCGCTGCCACCAAGCTCGGGCGGGCGGGCCCGGCGAGCAGGCCCCGTCGGTCGCCCCCGCCGGCGCCCTCGCCCGCGGACCCAATGGAGGCGGACCCGCGGGCTGCTCGGCGGCATCAGGTTGATCGGGTGCTCGCGCCACTGCGAGATAAAGTTATCCGTTGGGCGGCGGTAGGGAGCCGACGTTGTGAGCAGACGGCCGCACTGTTTGATGCATTGGCTTTACTAGAGCTGGCGCCGCCACGCCCGCTTGAGGTCACTCGGCAAGCGAGCACTGAAACGTCTTTGTTGTGGGCAATCGCCGAAGAGCTCGAGCAGTTTCCACGCAGGGAGATTGTCCCAACGCTGGAGGCAAATCCGGCGACTGGATCGCCAGTTGCATTCCCGTACGTAGGCGGCTTGCACCCGTCAGTTGTCGGAGCAGGTGAGCATGGGCGTCGGCCAGGCCCCTCCACGAAATCCAGCCTGCGCTTGGCAGTCCTCAACCCGGGACGCACGGGCTTCCTGCAACTAGGTTCGGATATGTTGCTCGAGCGGCGGCTTGAAGCCGTCGCGCACGCGCTGATAGAGCGGGATGTCGACGCGTGCATTCTTCCAGGCGCGCGTTTTCCAGCTGGCGCCTCTTTGCCACCTGGCTTCCCTTTTTTGTGGGAAGGGCCCGCGTCCTCTGGCTGGGACTCCGTCGGCTTGTTTCTGCGCCCTGAACTGGAGCATGCTTTCAGGCCACTCCCCGAAATCTCCAGCACTCGCGAACAGTGGTTTGAGCTGGGGGGCGCAGGCGACGAGACCAGCCCTAGCGCCGTCCTGTGCGCAATGTACCCTGTCCACGGCGGGGACGGGACACTTGGGCGTCCATCGTTGCCCACGTGCGGCTGTCGCGACGTCGCTTTCCTGCTGCTCGCCTGCTTATCGGGGGCGATGCGAACCTCCACTTGCCGCACTGCGCTTCCCACGCCGTTGGGTGCCTCTGCCCCCATTGTCGACAGAGAGCCCCAGATCGCGAGATCCAGGCGTGGCTCGATGGCGCAGGGCTCCGCGCTTACAACCCCCCTTTGCCTACTCACGTTTCTGGCGCGACGATTGATCTGTTCTTGGGGCCTGCCGAAGCTTACCTTCCTGTGTCTGTCTTTGATGAGTTCGTGGGCCTATCGGACCTCAAGCTTGCCCAGGTCGACGTTCCCTTCTCCCCGGCCCTTTCGTGGTCTGCGGGCTTTGGGCGAGTGTCCTGGACGTCTGGGGACGAGTGGATGTCCGCGCTCGAAAGTATTTCGGATCTGCTGGGCGTGCTAGCGGACGCCGTGGAGCAGGCCGCCAGAAGCGCGCGGCTTAGGCCGCCCTGGCTTGGGGGCAACGCCACTCGTCTGCAGCGCCGAGCTGTGCTCAACAACGCGGCTTGGGCGAGGGACGCCACGTACGTCTTAGTAGGCCACGCTGCCGGGGCCACGAAGGTGAGCCGGGTTGGTGCTGGCGAGGGGCGCGCGCCTTCACGAGCTCCTTTGAGTCCCGCGTCTTTACCGACGCATGAGGCGTACAAATCCGCCGTGGAGACTGCTGCGTGGCAGGGGCGGCGCAAAGCGGTCCACCGCTATTTATCCCTGAGGGGCACGAACGCAGGCGCGGCAGAACACTTCCTCACGGGCGTTTTCAAGTCTTCAGCCCGGTTCGACAGACAGCTAGTGGGCGAGTCTTCTGGCGCGGCTCTCTCGACAGTTGAGATGCTCGACGCCATCCGTAGGGACCTTTGCTCGCGCGCCGGGAATGACTTCCCGCGGGACCCAGCCGAACGCACGCGCATGTCAAGCCAGGTCGCTGCCATCCGTCGCTCGCGCTGGCGCGAGCTCCGGCCAGGCGGGGCCAGAGCAGCCGTACTCGGCAGAGGAGGTCGAGGCGGCCCTTGCGCTGCTCAAGCCAGGCAAGCGAACCGTGCGCATGTGCAACGCGGCGGTGCGTGCCAAGGTTGAGGAGGGTTTCCGTCTCACGCGAGCCCTGTTGAACCTGGCGCGTGCCCGTGCGTTACCTCGCGTCTTTGGTCGCTGAGGCAGTTTTCCCCGCTCCGCAAATCGGGGCCAGCGGTAGTGCGTCGGCTCTCTGCCCTACGTCCAGTTTCATTTGCCAGTGGCATGGCGTCGGTTCAAGACGCGGCCTGGCTGGCGCGCAATTCCCACTGCATAAAAGCTTACTGTGGTCCAGCCCAGCAGGGAGGCGTCGGTGACGCCATGTCTTTGGTAGTTGCGCTCGTCATGAACGCCCAACTCAGAGCAGCACAGGACCTTCCAACCTGGTGGGCGATCGCAGACGAGAAATGGGCCGTCGACGTCGCTTCCATAGACGGGATGCTCTTGGGCGTCTTCGCCGCGGGTGCTCGGGTAGCTGACTGGCTGATGCTTGACGATGTCTTTGCGCAAGATCATCAGGTGGTAGGGCTCCGCGATTTGCTCACGCCTTTTTCCGCTCTAGGTTGCGGCACCGCGCAAGGGCGACGCTTTTCGGTCCACGCCTTCAATGCGCAGCTGCGCGCTCTCCCTGTGGAGATCGAACAGGCCATGCCTGGGGGGTGCGCTTCTCGCATCCCTCTCTTGGCTCGTTTGGCCTTGCGTGATGCCAATGACGCGGTGCGTGCATCAGTTGATGTTGCAATGCCTTCTCGGGATTTCTCTCTGTCTGCCTCGGCAGTGTCGCAGGCGGCCTGCATCGCTGCGCAAGAAGGCGCCCCCTGGCCACGTGCCGGGGCCTTTCTTTCCCACGCGTTACGATCAATACCAGCACTCCCGGACAGAGTGGCGCTGGTGGAAGCCACAGGGTCGCATCACCTCCCTCCTGTCCAGGTCGTCGACGACATCACGACGCCTTGTCCGTCAGCAGGGGCCGTTCGCGCTGTGTTGTCCGAAGAGGCGTCCTCCGCATGCACGCGGTGCGCCAGGAGGATGAAGTCTCAGTTTAATTATGGGGTTGGGAAGACTTGCGTGCTTCCGATCTTTTGGGCGCCAGCCCCGCCGCACGCCGGCTGCCCCGTAGTGCTTGTGAAGCGCCTGCTCGGAGTCCTGGTTGACGGGGATCTTTCTTTTCTTCCCCTGCTCCGTGAGGTTGCGGCGATGGGGAATGATTGTTTCGGCAGATTGCTCCACGCTGCGCAAAGCGGGGGGTTCTCTTTCCCTGTCGCAGCCGCCCAGGCCCCCTCGCGCGTGGAATCCGTGGTGCTATACGCTGCCCCGCTTTTCGCGGGCACGCCAGTGGCGGAGGCCGCCCTCAATAGGCTCCAAGTGAGCTGGGGTCGACGTCTGTTGGGCTGCCAAAGAGGCCCTCCCATCAAGCATGCTGTTGTAGTCGCGCAGCGCGGGTGGCCAATGCGGCTCGGCAGCCGTTTTTTGGAGAGGGTAATCACGGCGAGGGCGCGCCTGCAGGTGCTGCCCTGCGATCACCCAGCGGCCGTAGTCCTTCGCGCGGCGAAGGATATGGGCACCCCGACATGGGAGACCGCGGCGCTTCGGCTTCTGGGCCGCCTGCCCTCCCCGCCTGCTGACCTGCTATGTCACGCCGTGTTTCCGCCTGGGAGGATCGAGGCTGCGCGGAGGGATCGCGCTGCCCGGAAGGAGGTGCTGAGGGAGTACCGGCTAGGTTGCGTGCGCCCGGCCTTGCTCCAGTACGACCAGGCGGCTTTTGTCGCGGCCGCGTCTCGGAAGTTCGAAGCCTTTAACCGTTCTTTTTGCGACCTGTGCCCTGGGCCCTCCTCCCTGACCCTGCCCTCCTCGCGTGGGAGTCTGGGCCTCACTTTTGGAAACACTTTCAATTGTGGGCTGTGGCGCGTATGACTGGTGCTTGGCCGCTCTCTGTGTTGGGGGGCGATGACCACCCATGCGCCCTTGAGAGATGCCGGGCATGTGGGCTTCGTAACGCGTCCTTGCGTCATGCATTGGCGGTGTGCCCAGCGCTTGCGGTGCAACGGCGTGAGATCTTCCCTCTGGGGCCTGACCACCAGCCTCGGCCTGTAGGCAGTGACCTTTTCATGCAACTTTTGTTCTGCGAGGGCGGTGACGCCAGTGAGCGCGTGAAGCGCGTCTCGTTCGTGGGCCGATCCATTGTGCGGGCTGCTCAGCGCCGTT